TATAAATTAAACGAACAAGAAACATATCATACATAACGTTCGTAACGTTTCTTAAAAATAAAAATATAAATATATTAAAATTCTAAAGAGAAAATTATAAAGCGACAAGAACGTATGAAATAGTTATTAAAGTCTTAAAGAGCAATGCTCTTGATAATGAACATAAGGCTACAACAAAGTGCCTGAATGCAATGTGAATTATTTTCGTTACTATTGTTGACTCAATATTATATATGTGTGAATTAATTCTACAGATAGAAATAGCAGGATATTAAAAGTTTTAACGGCACTAATAATGAAACAATTCATTTAAAAATTGTTTTATTATAAAATACGAAATACTAATAATATTTATAAATTTATCGATTGTATAGATTAAAATTAAATATTGCGAATACAATATAAATATGTAATAATTTAATTTAATTCATCATATTTCTGTTTTATCATATATTTCTACTCAATATTTCTAGAACAAATTAATATTTGAATCTATTTCAGAATTTTTAATTTTAATATTCTCAATTAATGATAAAATTATACAAAAAAAACACAAATAGTATTATCCTATTAAATATAACTTAATTTAAAATTTTATTTATTTATTTATTTATTTTTAGTATCAATTGAGAGATTTATTAATTATAAATTTATTATTTTAGACTTTTCTCTCAATTATATAATTAAGAATATACATTGATTTTTTAATACTTAAAAATAATTTTTACTAAAAATAAATGATTTATCAGTATTTGGCATATCTTATCAGTATTCATTTTATCAAATATTTATGAAGATTGCTAATATGACGCTTAATATTGAATGATAGTTAATACTTTCTAGTTAATAGTTTACATTATTCATTTAAATGATTTTAAATGAGTGAGAGAATTTATATATTATATTTGAAAAATGTTATGAAAAATTGTAAAATTTAATTTAATATTTTATTTGATGAAATTATGGATTATGAAACATATGTAAATAAAATTATACAAAAAAATGTTCTACTCCTATTCTTTTTATTTCCTCATTTATAGATAGATAAATTTATCATATCATTGTTTTAAAAATCTAAATTCTTTGTTCGCACTATATGCAAATGAATTATTTATTTTTTCCTAACATGAAATTAAATATATGTACATATATATATATAATTATTAAAAACAATATTTTTTCCAATCATAACATAAGATTGCATTTTCTTATAATTTTCAATTTTATATTTCAGAATATAAATATAATTGCACAAATTTCATATATTCTTATTATTTTTAATATTTTCGAAAAAATAAATTTAAAAATTCAAAAAATTACAAGTATAATTTTAACAAAAAAATTTTTAAATCTTATTTATTTATTATAATAAATTATTTTTCTATAAAAAGTAAAGAAACAGTCAAAAATTGTACAAAAACAGGTTTTCTGAATACAAAAAAATTTTATGAACGTGAATTTAAATTTCACATACAAATAAACATATAATATTTTGTGCAGTAAACTGCATTTTTTCATTGCATATTTTTTTTTCTTTATTTCTTTTTTTTTTTTTTTTTTT